ACGATTTCCTCTCCAAAAAACGCCCAACGCCCTCTTTCCTCCCCGCCCCCTTCCCACTGGCCCCGACATCCCCACCCCAGATTGCCTCTGTTCTTGGGACCCCCCACCCCACGATTCCTCTCCCCAAACACCCAACGCCCCCCTCACCGCCCCCCACCTGGCCTCGACACCCCCACCCCAGGTTGCCTCTGTTCTTGGGACACCACACCCCACGATTCCTCGTCCAACAACGACCGACGCGCCCTTTCCCGCCCCCCACCTGGCCCCGACACCCCCACCCCAGGTAGTCCTGTTCTTTGGAACGCCCACCGCACGATTCCTTTCCCCAAAAACAACCAACGCCCCGCTCCCCGCCCCCCACCTGGCCCGGACCCCCTCACCCCAGGTAACCTCTGTTCTCGCGACCCTCCACCCCACGATTCCCCCCACAACCTGGCCCCGACCCCCACCACCCCCGATATGCTCTGTTCATGATACCCCCGATCCCAAGGTTCTCCGCCGACACACGACCAACGCCCCCCTCCCCACCTCCCACCTGGCCCCCACACCCCCATCCCAGCTACACTCTGTTCTTGGGACCTCCCACCCACGACTCCTCCGCCAAAACCGCCCCCCCCCTCCTCGCCCCCCCCTTGACCCCGACACCCACAACTCAGGTAGCCTTCCGAGCCCAAAACCTACCAACTCCCCCCTCCCCGCCCCCCACCTCGCCGCGACCCCCATCACCCCTGGTAGCCTCTCTTCTTGAGACCCCCCACCCCACGCTTCCTCGCCCCAGAACGCCCAACGCCCCTTTCCCCGCCCCCCACCTGACCCCGACCCCCGCACTCCCCGGAGCCTCTTTTCTTGGGACCCCCCAACCCACGATTCCTCGCGCACCATCGACACCACGATTTCTCTCCAACAAACGACCCACGTCCCTCCCTCTATGTCCCCCTCCACGCCCCGGCACCCCCCTCCCACGGACCTTCAGACGCACGCTTCTCGGGACCCTGCGCACCACGGACTCTCGCCCAACAACGACCAAGGCCCCCCTCCAAGCTTTGCTCTTTTCGGCTTTGGCGACAGCTATCCAGCTTTCCGTATTTTCGTCACCGACGCGAGGCTCCTCTCAGCGACTTCCTTCCGTTTGCGCTCTTGGCCAGCACAGCAGCCGTTGCACCTCTGCTTTCCATCCGCCTTCTGCGTCGTTCGCCCAGCCAACCAGGTGCTGTAGTGCTCCCTCTCGAAAGCGCCCTTACATTCCACGCATTTCCACTTTCCGCGCTGCAGCTTCGCGCCATCGATGCAGCGCTTGCACTTGCGGTGACGCTCTGCCACGCCCTCCCACATCCACTGCGAAAAGCATTCACGCCGCTGCGCCACCCCGCACGCAACGCAGGCTCTCTCGTCCTTCCTCGCAGCCGTGTCCCTCTGCGCAGCTCCAGCGTCGACGCAGCGCTTGCACTTCCGGTCACTCGCGGCCACTCAATCCCACATCTTCGGTGAAAAGAAATCGCGCCGTTGCGCCACCCCGCACCCAGCACAGGTCTTCACGTCTTTGCTCGCCGCCATATTCCGTCGGGCGGTTGCAGCGTCCACGCACGTGGTACACGCAATCGACGCTTCCGACGCGTTGACCAACATGTGAGAGGAGAATTCCGCCTTCCTCTTCGCCTCTCCACATTCTGAGCATACCACTCGCTTCGCTTCTTCGGCGCGCGCCTTCTCCTCCTTTCTCTGCGACTTCTTACACGACTTGCATGTCGGTTCGTCCTGGCACTGCTCCGATTTAGAAAATTCAACACGCAACTGCTCCTGGCCGCAGCGCGAACACTTCAGGTGTCTCTTGGGCTCCTCGCACTCGAGGCACATTCCTCCTTTACATCGGGCGTCCCCTGCCTTCACCCACTGCAGATCCACGAACGCATCCTCGTACTTCCGCACCTCGCATACGTAACATTTCCGCCTCTCAGGACAGTCCACGCAACGCCGTGACGTCAGCTTCGAGCAGTGGTGCTGGGACGTGTGGGAAGCATCCTGACCCTTCCACAGATAACACTCCATACACTGCCACGGCGTGCCAATGCTCTTTTTGCCTCCCAAGCACAGTGTGCACACACGGAGACCGTCTTCCCGGCTCCACTGCCCGATCGCATACTGGTTCTTGTACTTCACCGACGCGCACAGCGCGCACTTCCCTGCAGGCATGAACTCCTTCTCGATTGCATCCCAATCCATGGGATCCCCCCGCAACGACTGTAAGAGTAATCCGGGCCCCTTCCGCTCCTTCTGAGTGCACGGCGCGCGGTCGAAAGGCCGAAATATCAGCATGTCCTCGCGGCGACGCACGCGCGTCAGAGCAACATAGCTCGACAACGGCGACGTGCCCCCGCCAATCCTCAGATCCACGATGACACCTTGCTTGAAGGTCTGGCCCTGTGCTGAGTGGGCGGTCACTCCAAACGCAGGTGCCAAGGGAAACTGCCGCCGCTTCGCTTTCAGACGCGGATACGGCCGGCCCCTGTCCACGAACCAATCTTTCCTCTGCGGGCTCACTGGGTGCAGGCCCGGAGTTCGGAGCCCCGGAATGGCCCACTTGCATGGGATTACGTTACCTGCATCATCGCGACCCTCGTCGAAAAGGACAAATATCACTTTCGGCGTCTTCTGCAAAATGGTCTCCCCTCCCCGGGAGACGCGACCCGCTCCTTCCTCGCCATCAAACACCCATGAGTGCACGGTCCCCACGCGTCCGCGGAGCAGGTACTTGTCCTCGCTGCGATCGATATGATCGGTGAGGGCCACGGGCATGCCCTCCGCGAGTGGCAAAAACCATACAGGTCCCCGCTCTCCTTGTCGTGGCGCTGCAGCCAGGCCATCTTTTGGTGTGGCAGATCTGGCCGCTCTCGCAGCGCATCCGGCGTCGGAGTGTCGCGCGCATGGATGTGCACCATCGGCTGCTCGTGCAGTCGGGCGTATTGCGACGCTCGGAGCTTGTTCACCTCATACTTGACGTCGTTATTCGGGAACACTCCGGGGGCACACCGAAACTTCGCCGTGTGCATGCGCGGATCATCCGGACCAGCGATGACGAGCTGGCGCCGTTCGCGCTCATGCCTGCACTGTGCGCATTCCTGCCTGCGGATGTCCTTCGGGGTCACTGCGCGCTGACGGCGTGCTCCGACAGCGTCCTTCTGCGACGCCCCTGCGCCGTCACCCAAGGCCTGACATCTCGTGTTCCCACACTCAACCTGACCGTGTAGCCAACTTCCTGGCACGCAAGTATCACGCCCGTGCAAGAAGGAATGTGCGTCTTCTGTGAGGTCTCCTTTGCGGAACTCCTCTTGCACGGATTTCAGCCAGGCATCGTCGCAACGCTCGCACTCCACTAGCTCCGTTACCCCCTGCACGCCCTCCTGACCACCCCCCCACAGGAGAGCTTGCCCGTGTAGCACTGGCGGGAGCGAGGTATACCTCCGAGCCTCCGCGATGCGCTCCGTTGGCACGTCTGCAAGGAACCCCCCCGTCCGGAGGCGCCAGCTGCCACAAATCTCCGCTCAGCACGACGTTCAAGCCGCCGAAGGGCCGCGGCACTCCGTCTTCCCCGCACTTCTGGGTGCCGACGTCCCGAATGACGCTGCGAAGCTTCTGGTCTACTTCGGCGAGCAGCCGGGCGCTGACCATGCTGATCTCGTCGATGAACAACCACCTCCACTGCAGAACTCGCTTCGCTGTATCGTACTGAAGTTTCACATCTTCCCCCTTCTCGTCGCCGCGTTTGACGGCGGGAATTCCGCAGGCGTGATGCATGGTGTCTCCACCGAGCAGCTGCGCCATGACTGCCTGGAAGGCCGTGATTTGAAAATGGACGCCAATCGTCCACTTCATGATGTCTTCGAACAGCTCTTTCCGCAGAAGGCGCAGCGCGTGTGATTTCCCTGTGCCGGGCCCTCCGTGCATGCACCAACGCAGCGGGTCACCCATGCCCGCGCCCCCTCGCGCCTCCCCGTCCAGCTCTTGTATCACCCTTTCTGCTACCTGCTTGACCATTTCGAACTGCTTCGCGTTGACGACGCGCCGGCCTGTGCCTTTGTCAGTCCTGAACTCCAGCTCCCTGAGCCACTCCACCACCTGGCCGGAAGTCGCCCCCCCCTGCGCCTCCACCTTCCCACTTCTTTCCTCCGCCGCCACTCTGTCGGCCATTGAATTTTCCTTGTTTCGCGACGCCCTTGCTGCGGCTTGCGCGGCCTCCAGATCACAGCTGACCGCTGTCGGCCACGCGTTCCGGACTTCCCCGAGCGACTTTTCACTCGGGCGCTGGCCCCGCACTTCCTGGACCACGGCCATGCCTGCTTTCGAGTTCTGGTAATGGGAAGATCCACCCAGACCACCCTCCGCGCCACCGTCTTCTCCTCCACTACTGCTGTCACCGTCTCCGTCGTCCCGCTTCCGACCACCGACGCGTGACTTCAGAGCCTCGTCCAACTGGTCAAAGCCCACCTCCAGTTCCTGGTCGCTCACGTCCTCATCACTCCGCGCGTCCTCCTGCTCCGCATCCCTCGGGCGCGCGCGATACACGCTGAGGAAATTGCCCACGTAACGCGCAGCCTCTTCCGACTGCACTCCGCCGTCTAGCCACGACACCATAGCGCCCTCCCACGTTTTCGAGGCCCGCCGCAGTCCGCCTGCGAACACCACGTGATCGTCTGCCTCTGACTGTCGCAGCGTCCACGGGTGGAAGTAGGACATGACTATCCGCGCGGATCGTTCGGCTTCTCCGTTTCGGCTGCGAGGCACGGGAGCCCCGAAAAAGGTCGGCGCCAACGGCCTCTTGTTCCTGACAAGAACCCACGTGTGCCGCAGATGCCGGCATCCGTCAGTGTCTGGAAAGGCAACCCAATTTTTCCCTGCGTCGCCCTTCACCATGTAATCCACCCCAGGCACTAGCTCTTCCGCCTGCTCCTGCCTCCGACCCCATTCCTTCACTTTCTGCTCCCCTTCTGCTGTCAAGAACGCGTGGTGCCTGTCCCGATCGGCTCTGGCGCCCCTTATACTGGTGGGGTACGCCACGAGCACAGGCCTCCAATACGTCACGAACTCGTACGGCGACAAGTGCCACAGGCCGTCACGCTTCGGGCGAAGTCCGTACAACATGGCCGCATCCCTGATAGTGACTTTCCGGAGCCTCGGGTTTCGCATATCCACCTCCGCGAACTGTGCTTTGCGCCCTCCTGTTGTGCCGTCCGACAGCCTCTCAACCGTCTCGACGTACTCGCGTCCGTAGAAACTGGTCGTCTCACAGGTCTTGATTGACTCTGCCGACGTCACATCGTTATCCATGGCATACGCTCGAAAATTCGCACACTCCACCTGCCACCGAACGATGCCCTTCCCGTAGGCGTCGCTCATGATGCGCGTCGTCATCCGCTTGCCGACGTAGTTCGCATTCTCCCCGCGCAGCTGTCGGCTGAGCTTCTCGATCCCTCTGGAGCACTCGCGGACTTCATGGAAGGCCAGGGGCTGCCACCTCCTCCTCCTCCTCCTCATCCCCCTCTTCTTCTCATCCTCTTCCTTCTACTCATCCTCGTCGTCCTCCTCCCACCTACCCCCCCGCAATCCTCGTCCTCCTTTAGCCGTCCTCCTCCTCCTCCTCCTCCTCCTCCTCCTCCTCCTCCTCCCCCTCCTCCTCCTCCTCCTCCTCCTCCTCCTCCTCCGCCTCCTCCTCCTCTTCCCCCCCTCCTCCTCCTCTTCCTCCTCCTCCTCCTCCTGCTCCTCCTCTTTTGCCTCCCCCACCTCATCCTCCTTTTCCTCCTCTTCCTCCCCCCCTCTCCTTCCTCCTCTGCCTCCTTCTCCGCCTGCCCCTCGTCCTCCTCCTCTGCTGCCCTCTTCCTCCTCCCCCCTCTTGGGTGCTTCCTGGGGCCGCCTTGGAGGCCTCCTGGAGGCCTCCTGGGCCGTCTGGAGGCCCCTTGGAGGCGCCACGGCGGAGGTATGAATAAAGGAAGCCCGATGATTTTGAGGTGGGAGGCGCCCCCGGGGACCTGGTATTCATCCATACGATATACTTGAACCACGCGCGCGCTTAGGTCCTGTTCCGCCGCCATTTTTCGACCGAGTCTCCACCAGCGGCACCGTCTTCGTTTTACTTGCGTTGGCTTTTTCGCCGAAGGCACGAGGTTCACCGTTGGAGTCCTCATATAGGACCGATGTACATTTCAATGGCGCACGACGGATCGGACCAGAACTGGAATCCGAAAATCAAATCGGCCAGGAACGGGGGCTCCTAAGTTGGCGAGACCTCTCAGGGGCCACTGACCCCTCCCGGGAACTCGGCGCGACGCCCCAGGACTTCGGAACCCGCCGGCCTTGAGGGCGGCATGATTTCATGTTTTTCGGCAAGCGCCAGGCGCGCTGCAGCAGCAGTTGTATGGCTGATGGGGCAACGTCGGGCCTTCCCTCCGACGAAGTGCCACACAGCATCCACGGCAAGGAAAATCCGCCCACACCTTTGGGTGACTAGCTTGTGAAGTCGCTTCCTCCCAAAATCCCATCGGCGGAGGACGGACAACTCGCCTCATGCAATGCCCAGCTAAGAACCCTCGCCCGTTTCACAAGTGGACCCGATTGACAGATGTGCTACTCGCACCCGAGAGGGTTCGAGTCTCCCTGGTCTGGCAACAAGGAGGGTTCCAGTTCCCCCGAGACTGGCAACAAGAAGGGTTCCAGTCTGCCCGAGCGTTCATCTGGCAAGCGACACTGAATTGTCCAATGGGTCATCGGAGACAGCATTGACAGGACATCTCTGAGCCCAAAAAGGGAAGATCTAGGGCGACAATGGCTGAACCACCTCAGGCGTGGGCTTCCCCGAAGAGACAATCACGAAATCCAAGCGAACAACCAAGAGGCTTCATACCGAAAACCTCGGCACAGTGGCGGGAAGGATACTCGGTGAAGAAGAGACGAAAGTGCAACTGAGAATCATGAGTCAGGCTCATGCCTGGATGTCTCATATTAACCCCTTTTTCTGCCGTACTCCGATAAGCACCCCGACAACAAACGAATCAAACGTACGTCGATCACTTGGGGTCGGCGGCAGAGGCGGCAGCCTTTAAATAAATTGTAAGCGAGAGCGCGATTCCTGAATAACATGCGAGGAAGTCTCGGGCGGGAGCGGGGGTCCTGCCTAGATTGTGAGAAAGTCTTAAGCGGGAGCCGTTGTTGTTGTAACCCGGGGGCTAGGGGCCTAGTTTGATCAGGAGGACTTCCCGTGTCAAAAAACAGGGTGCGAGCGTCGAGGGGCATACTTTGATTGAGAAAAACAGTATGCACCGGTGGGGGGGGGACCAACAATAATTATTCTTCTGAAGTGAGAATTCAACAACGGCTCCCGCCTGCTACCCCCGCACAAGTTACTAGCAAGTCGCGCTATCGCGAGAGACTTCCTTACAATTTACCACGGCTTCGCGCTCTCTCATGGGACTTCCTCGCAATTTATTTAAAAGCCGCGCCCTCGACACTCAGGAATCAAGCTCTCGCTCTGGACTTTCTCGCAATTTACTTAGGGATCGCGCTATCGCTCGAGACTTCTCCGCAGTCCTCACAGGAAAGACGCGCGAGCCTGCGCGCGGTAGCACAGCCGCAGCGATGCGCCAGCCAGCGCCAAGCAGTCATCACAATCGCCGCCTCATGGGTGTGGCAAACCAAATTGCGGGTGGGTGGGTGGGGTGGCTGCGCGAGCAGTGGAGCTGTCAACCTCAAATTCGGCTGGGCGAATTGCACAACACAGATGGCACCACAAAGGTTACACCACGTATATAAACTGCACCACATGGATTGCACAACCTTTATTACCCCACGCAGATTTCACCACGTATATGGTCCCACATACATTACATCGCGTAGGTAGCACCACGTACATTCCCAGAAAACGCACAGTTTGGGGCCCACGCTGACTAAAATGTATACATTGATCTCCGATGGGTATATGAACCTGCGCCTTCTTGGGGTGGAGTGGGAAGCTCGGGGACTGGGGGCGAGGTGGGTCTGTGTTCTTCTTCCGGGCTCCACGACAGGAGGCCCAAGACGGCGCCGACGGCAGCCCCGCCCACGGGTGCCAGGACCCTCGCGGAGAGCGAGGCCGCGAGCGAGGACACCGCCAGGCAGCACAGCCACGCGCCCAGCTGCTTCCCGTACCTTTCTGGAGGGTTCCCAAACGGGCTTCGTGCGAGGCTGGGCTCTATCAATAACCACCGCCTAAGGTATCGACTTTCGAGGACCTCCGCAGACGGTGGATATGGATATGTCTATCGTCCCCAGGGCCCCTGTATATCAATATCCACCACCTGCCGAGGTCCCTCAAGACTGATCTTAGGTCGGGCATGCCCTCCTACATGCAGATGTGGGGCGGAAATTTAAATATACTAAAAAAGGATTTAAATATACCCAACAATATTCAAAGCATCGTCCCCAGGCGATGTTCGTTTGGAACATTCCCCCTGTAGAGGGACGTGCCCGACTGAACGCTATAGACAGATCTCCACCCTGGAGTTGGGGCAGAAGGGGTTGGGCCGACCCCCCGCGAAATAGAACCCCTTCTCAGAGGGCTGGGAGAGGTGGTGCGGCGAGCTCGCGTCGTGACGACCCCGGCGCTGGCTTCTGACACCGCGTGGGTCGTTCAAGTTGGAACGATTTGGCGGCTTTCCGATCGCCAGATCCTTCCATACTGGCCGACTCTGGGCCACCGGCGGCGGTCAACCTCAGAGGCCCACGCTGGGGCGCCGCAGAGTCGACTCCGACACGGGCCCGCCGCCACACACGAGGTCGTCTCCGCCCTCTCTGCCCTGACCCGCCCCCATTGGAACCCCCTGACCTCTCGCCGACGAAGTTCCCGCGCTCGTCGGAGTACTCGCCGCTGGCGAAATCCCCTGTGTTCCTCCAGAGCGACGATCGGCGATCGACAGTTCTTTGTTTTTTCGAGGCAACATTTCCAGCGCAGTGAGGGGGATGAAGCGCGACGAACAGCTGCAGTGCCGGCAACAAAAACCTGCAACGGCCCCTGAACCGGGGCTCGGGCGGAGGGCGGAAACCGGAGGAGAGGAGGAGAAGGACGAGGAGGAGGAGAAGGAGGAGGAGGATGAGGAGGAGGGGGGGGAGGAGGAGGAGAAGGAGGAGGAGGAGGAGGAGGAGGAGGAGGACGAGGAGGAGGCCTGGGGGAGGACTCGACGCTTTAGCCATGCCCCTGCTCACGCCCCACCCCCACCACGGGGCCAGAGTGGGGGCTCGGATGCTTGAGAGTACAGTCGGGCCTACAGTCGGGACGTTGACCTAAGGAACCCTAAATAAGGAACGAGGCCCTTTGTTTCCATAAGTTAGACTTCGATTCCCCATCGAGAACCTAAGGGCAGCCTAAGGCAAGCTGCGAACAAAATAAGGAACACGGGGCCCCTCCCCAACGAAAAGGGTTTCTTGATCGGAGCCCCGACTGTAAGCCAGAAGAACATCCGTAAAGAACATGAGACCCTCCGTCGGTCAACAAAAGAGCATTCGAGGGTGCCCTCCCCCAGGATGCACGAGAACGCCCAACAAACACGGAGAGCATCAGGGTACCTCCCCGAACCCACCTGGATCTGACCCTTCGGTCCGACTGTGTCTTGCCCCAGGTGCCGAGCCTTTCGTCCACACCCGGCTCCTCATGGCGCCCCTGTGGGGGGCAGCAGCACGCGTATGGATGGAGCGGTGGCCGCCGAGACGAACTCAGAGGGGAGGAGGAGGAGGAGGAGGAGGAGGAGGAGGAGGAGGAGGAGGAGGAGGAGGAGGAGGGAGGAGGAGGAGGAGGAGGAGCAAGCCTATGGGATCGAGGCGCTGGCCATTGCCGGCACCTGGACGGCGCTCTCGGGCCCCGGGGCCCTCGCGACTCGGTCGGGGGCGGCGCAACCTGCCCGGGCGGGCCCCTCCGGGAGTGCGGGTGCAGCTCTGAAAGCAGTCTGCAACCGACGGACATGTCCGTACTCCAGATTTCGGAATAAAGGGAGGGGGGTCTCATTTCGGGGGGGGTCTCTTCCAGGCTATCTTGGAGGGCCTGGGGGGGGCTGGGGACGATGTTTTGGAGGGTTCTCCCACGAGGGGGGGTCTGAAATGGCTTGTCTTGGAGGGTCCAGACCCCCTCCCTTTTATTACGACATCTGGAGTATCCATGTCCAGCGCCCGGATGGATGGTGGTGGGTGGAGTAGCCGTAACGAGGACTTCCCCCGCGGAGGTGGATTACACACGAAAGGTACTTGGTGAAGGTTCCCTCTGAAGAATGCCAACTCCCAGCTCGCAAGCCGCAGTCATCGTCTCAGATCGTTTGACAGCATTCGGCGACATATCCAGCGTTTGACAGCATTCGGCGACATATACAGGTCCGTATCCATGTTCAGCGCCCTCTAACGGGGACTCCACTAACGGCTACTTTGGCCAGTGACCTGGCGAGCCCAACCCTCCCCGATGTGGGCAACGCTGCAATGCTAGAAAGAGGCCTCAAAGTGGCAACTTTCGGCAACCTTCCAAAGTACCCGTTCGTGAGTGCCCGCCACGGTGCGCCTGACGCGTGCTCGCGGTCTGGATGCCGAGGCGCGATCCCGCGGATTGCGCGACCCCACGGGTGAGTTCCGCGCGGGGCATCCGCGCATAACCGCCCCGTGTATATATATATATATATATATATTCCTGGGGTCGCGGCCGAGGTGGTCCAGATCGCGACGCCGTCGATGTGGATACAGTGAGGGCCCGACCACTGGAAACCCTCCACAAGAAGCCCAACCCTGAGACCCCAAGGCGTACACTGATCTCTGGCGCGGGAACGTCTCGCCCTTCATAGCAAAGACATGAAGGCCCAAGAAATCAAAGGCACCCTGGAGGTAAGCAGGGTGTTTCTTGGCATGGGCCTCCACTGGGCGCGCCGTGTCCAGGGCGCCTGCCATTGCTGTCGTGGACTATGGGCGACCTGCTCGACCCTGGAAACCGCTCCACAGCAGGGCTAAAGAGGATCGACGCAGGGATATGGATGATGTTTCCCACCAGAAGCTCCCAGTGGAGTTCTCAAGATAGTCGACGAGCGCGTTCAGGAGGACGTACTCGATGGGCACGATGAGCGCGGCGCCCGCTACGGCGAAGAAGCAGTACTCCGCGCACCCCACGCCATCTGGGGGCACAACCAATTGACGGCGCGAACAAGGGGGTGGCAGAAGGGGGGCTGCCTTCTAAGGAGGCGGGGGGCTTCTTGGAAGGCAAGGGCCTTCTTCGAAGCGCCTGGATGGTTCTCAGACGACTTCGTAGAAACGGAGGGGGCCTCGAAAAAGCCGCCGGTCTTCTTAGAAACAGCCCCGCCTTCTTCTAAAGTTGCACCTCTCGCGCTGCCCCTTCTACGCGTTGCCAAAAAAGAGTCTGCTATCGCCACTTCCAGGACCCCTCCAGGAGTGCATTATGACCACGATGTCTACGCGAATGCAGCCTTGGCGACGATGCCCCCCCCACTCAGAGGTCCGACAAGGCGAAAACCTGATAGGGGCATCGGCATCGGCACGGCTTTCTTTTCTGATCCTCGGCATCTACTGTGCCGAGGTCTTCGAGAGGTCCTGCGCAGCGTCGCACACTTCCGCTTGGGAATTCGTCGCGCGCGCATCCTGGCGCGCCGAACACGGGGCTCTATCGCACGGGGCTGGAGCAACAGTCAGGCGCGGAGGTTGCACCGATACGCGCACACGCATGCCAGGGGCGGTCGGCATCGACCAAGGCTGGACTCACGGCGATGTTGATTGACGATGATGCTGGGAACCAGATCTTGCAGGGAACCACGAACCACACTTTCCTACATGTCCAATCTGCAAATGAATCGAGCGAACACGACATAACGAATTGTAGGAAAGCGCGAGCCACGCGAATTGTGGCGCAACACTGCGCAGTCTAGACGCATTCTTTCCATCCTCGTCCTTCCCTCCCTCTCCTCTCCCCTCCCCCCTCTCCCCCCCGCCATCCCTTCCCTGGCCGGTGCTTTGCCGTCTACCCTCGCGCTGCGCTAGCATGCTTGCGCATTGTAATCCGAAGCCTGGCGAGGCACGCGCCCTTGTTTGATGGAGCCCCGCGTTTTTTTTACGGTCGCATGTGCTGTCACACAGTTTGCCAACGCGCCGGCTAGGCGCGTCTTCTTTCGTTCGTTCGCGAGCCACGCGTTCCCACAATACCGAAACCTACATCATCGCCGTTACCTACGTCGCCGTTAGCCCGTCTGCGGACATCGTCGCTGACGAGCGCAGCTTCGCGCACCTCCGCGCTGGAGCTCGTCGCGCGCGCACCGTCAGTCACGTCCCACGTGGCATCATCGCTGCGCGCCCGTCTAAAGATCGAATCGGGAAAGCGGACCGCATCGCATCCTGCAAGGCATCGGGCCGCATCTCGGCAAGGAGTCGGACTCGGACCGGACCGACCGCGCCCGGATGCGCACCACGGCGCCGTGCAGGCATCGGGTCGTCGGCATACATCGGCATCGGTCCAGATCGTGCCGGTCGACGACGGCATCGAATCGGACCGACCGATTCGAAGAGGGCCCTGGCACCCTTGTACAAAGCATCGAATCGGACCGATCGAATCGAAGACCCCAACGAATCGAAGAGGGACCGAGTCGAATCGAAGAGCATGTCTGTGGTTACAGAGCTTCCAGTACATATCATTGCGGGCGCCTTGCGGCCGGTGCTGTCGACCCTGAAGCGGGACGACGACGACGACCACGGCGGCGGCGGCGACGACGACGACGCGGACCTGGGCCAGAGGGAGGCTTCCTGGGGTCTCTTCGGAAGGCTCTCGGGGACCTCTGGGGAGGCATTCTGGAGGAGGAGGAGGAGGAGATCCTCTTGAAAGCCTCATGGGGACCTTACACAGCTTCCAGCAGTTACTTGCCAGCCCCGTCGGGCGCTGCACCCTCTGCTCGCTGGTCCACACACACCTCCCTCCTGGCTCCGCTCCCTGCCCCCGTCGTCGACCCGTTCTGGAGAGGCACATCGACCAAGGCCGGGCTCACGGCGATGCCGCTTCACGGTGATGCTGGGGACCGAATTGTACGAAACCGCGAACCACACTTTTCGGTGGCAACTCATGGGAGCCTCCCATACCATCTTGTCGGCTCTTGCGAATCGACGCTCGTCGACGCCAAATCGACGCTAACCGACGCGAAATCAACGCTAACCCGGCGCTATCTCATCCACTCCCAGACGCTAATCGACGTTAGTCGACGCTAAATATAGAAGGAAGAGGGTACACCAGGCTCCCATGCTTTGCTACCGAAGCTCTTTCCTATACTTCCAATTTACGAATGGATCAGACGAAAGCGACACAACGAACTGTAGGAAGGCGCGAGCCACGCGTTCCCACAATACCGACACCTACATCATCGTCGTTACCTGCGTCGAGCTGAGGGGAGGCGGGGCGCAAGCGCGGAGGGCGCAAGCGCGGAGGGCGCGAGCACGAGGGGCTGCAGGCCACCACGGAGCGGCCCGCAGCCAGGTGCACCGGATCGGCACAAGAGCATGGCACCTTGGAGCGCACGTTGAGGAGGAGGGGGAGGAGAAGGAGGGGGAGGAGGAGAAGGAGGATGAGGAGGAGGAAGAGGAGGCGGCGGAGGAGGGGGAGGAGGAGGACGAGGAGGAGCAAGAGGAGGATGATCGAGGCTTGAGGCTTTTGTGCTCTCTTGATCCCAGCTGGGCCTCGTGGGGCGTGCATGATAGAAAAATAACTCTCGCGGGTCCAAGAAATCCACGCGGAGCGCCAACAGTTTCTGTTCATGGCGTTCCTTGCTCTTCGAACACAGGCGCACGTTGAGCACAGGAGCGCCCACCCTGGAGGGCGGGCGCCCCTGCAGGGAGGCGGGAGCGGCCTACCAGAGGAGGACCCGCCCGGCGCGGGCCACGCCTGGAGCCGCCGCCAGCGCTCCACGAGTTCAGCTCGGGCCGCGCGTGCGTCCCCGGGGGCTGCGCGACCCGCGTGGGCAGGCCCCGCAGCGCACCGGTCCTGCAGAGCGGGCTGGCGACGGGGGCCCGTCGCGCCAGCATCCTGCCTGTGCCGTGAGGACATTTCCCACGCGGGCGGGAGTGGTCCCCCGAGGGCTAGGGCGCGTCGCTGGAGCGTCTGCCCCATTTGCCTTTCTCTCCGCCAGAGGGGGACCTGCCGCTCCTGCTGCTGGCGCCATGCGTCGTCCCGGTTTCTGCGGTAGCGGCAAGAATACCGGATGTCGTGGTGACAGGCGGCCAGGTCCAACAGAAAGCTCAAGCAAAACTCCTCGTTGCCGTCCGTGTTGTAGCGCCCCTTGCCTCTACCCTTGCCGTCCCGGGCGTCGCAGGCGCGGCTCCAACCCTCCACCAACGTCGCCCCACAGGTGGCCTTGAGCCGGCTGATGACGTCGGGCCAGGTCTCGAAGCGATCCTCCCTGCGCTTCCACAGCTGCCCCCACTCGGTGCCGCGCTGGGGTTAGGTCGGGCGTGTCCTCCTGCGGGCGGATTTTGCGGGACAACTGACTCATCATCAAATATTTACAACACTTGTAAAACATAGCCGAACAATCGTCCCCATACTCATTTTTGCCTATCTTCGAACATTCCTCCTGTAGAGGGACATGCCCGACTTAACGCTGGGGCTCTCTGTGAAGGCCGTCATGCGTGTCCTGCCAGCCGCGCTGGTGGTGCGTCCTGGTTCACCGGGTGTGCGCTGCTCCAGGCCGGTGTTTCGCCGCGGCCGCGGGCGTAGGGTCAGTCGCCCCGGCCCCTGGTCCAGGTCGACCCATCGGCGGCACTGTGAAGCTTTTTGCGTTCTCGCCTTGTCGCTTCCAGTGGCCATCCGAGTCCTCAAGATGGTTCCAAGATGGGCCCAACTTGGGCCTCAAGATGGGTCCAAGATGGGTCTCAAGATCACTCCAAAATGGGTCTCGAGAGGGCGTCAAGATGGCTCCAAGATGGGCCTCAAGATGGGTCCAAGGGGGTCTAAGAGAAGCTCAAGCGAGCCCCAAGACGGCCCCAAGAGCGGCCAAGAGAGCTCCAAGAACGTGGGGCTTTCCTGACCAGGGCTGCGAGGGCCGCGCGGTCAGCAGCTGGCCCCGCACAGTGCCTCGGGGTGCCGCCGAGAGCTTCGTCTGCTGTGGCGCCGGCCGGGCGGCCGCCGCGGATGAAAATCTCCCAGGGCGTCCTTCCGCAGGATAATTGGGAAGACGCGACGCCTGCTGCTGGGCTGGGCACCTGGGCAACCATCCCAGTGAACAAACCAGGTGCTTTGTTTGTGTCCGCGCCGTCCCATCCCGTCACCCGGTCGCGCCCAGTCCTGGCGCACAAGAGACGTCCTGTGTGGACCTCGTCGGCTGGTCCTACCAACGCGCCAGGAGAGACGTTGGGCGCGAGTCGGTCCCCAGCCTCGTCCTGCTGCTTGTGCCAGCCCGCAGTGGGGGGCGCCAGCGTCGTCCCTGGCCATGAGGTGATTTCCACCCTTCACAGATGGGGGCCAGCCCCATATGCTTGTGGGGAGACGTCTGGCCTGGCGGCTGGAAGGAACCCTCGGCAGCGGTCCGCATCGTTACTCGGGGTTGCAGCTCTGGCCTGCGGGGCCTCTCCTGCCGTGGCGTCGTCACCCTCGCCGTCGTCGCCAGGGTCGGGTCCCAGAGCCCCGACGATGTGATTTTTCCGCAACGTCGACCCCCAGAGGTCTGGACCCCTTCCCTGGGACCGGCTTCTCGTCCCGAGTCGATTTTTGATGGCCCCAGGGCCTGGTAGAAAGGGCCCCCGAAGGCCGAAACTATGGACAAAACCTCCTGTCGCGAGTCTTCTCGGGTCGGGCAGAAGGGGGGATAGCAAAGGGGGGGGGTGAGAATCAGCGCACGTAGCTGATTTTCCCGGCGCCTCCCGGCGCCGGGAGGCGCCCATGTATCGAGGAATGGGCCCCTCGGTGAGGCCGAAACCAGCTGCGTGCAGCAAATTTCGTAACCCCCCTTTCCCAATCCCCCCCTTTCGCCCGGCCCGAGAGGAGGTCTGGGGTGGCCGCCCCGGCGGGCTCGCTGCTGGGCCCGTCGCTCGGCGTGCGGGGGCCGCCGACCTCCGGCCGCAGGGACAGCCTGCTGCCCGCGGCAGGGGCGGGTGGACCCCCCGGTGGTGGACCACCCCGTCCAGCGGG